CTAGCAATACAGCAATCTACACGTTAATCCATCAATCCAACCTCTCCCTCAATGAATACACCAATCCATCAATAAATCAACCAATTAATGTTCATTGTGCCCCCGAAACAGCTGGAAATCCTCAGGAGGGTTGCAGATACATAAGGCGAATTGAATCTGGCAGAAGCATGTAACACTTTGCCTTCAGCAGCGTCTTCATTTTACTCCCACCCCGTAATATATATGACATCCTAGATTCCTGAAACATAATTGTTCTCATAACCCTCCTAACGGCTCGAAGAGAAATTTTGTGTGTTTTCCCTCGACGTGTAACTTAAGTATGCATCTTAGATATTTCCCATCTAACCGACGATGCTGAGGAGACTATGAGCCAACATACCCTGCCTGGTTCGGTTTCAGAAGTCATTCGGTGATCCACTCGTGGGAGAAATAAAGACTGCGCTCTACCTTCTCTTTCATCTATTCGACCAGAAGGAATCCGTACGAAGTGAAGCAATGTAGTTAAACGGCAACTAAGTTAATCCCATTATTTGTTCCGAATTTGTGGGTAGGTTACGTGAGTTTGAACCAACTACGTTCACGGACCGGGACCACACAAGTTTTATAAACTGATAAAATCGCGTAAAAAAACTTTTTTTCTTAGTTAGCGCCTCCGGTTCATTTACAAATTTCAGTGGATTCTTGTTTTATTTCTCCTGATGGCTATTCGCCTGCCTCCACTGATATGCTACCTAGGATTGAAGCGGTGTAGCTTGTTTATTTTGAGGAATAACCGAGCAGATTTTTGGCATTGTTACTCTCACTGTGCCCTATGTCATGGCGGCGATTTTTTCATTTAGATATTTCAGAGAGAAACCATCTGGAATGTGTTTTTCTTTTCTTACGAAGTAGTCCTTTGTTAAAATTAGGTACTTTACTTTGATGGAGGAATATTATAATGTATTTGGTTCACTTAAGTTTCAAGTGACGCGCACTCCATCCTGGTACACATGTGGTAAAGCTTACGAACCGTAAAAAACACCTAAAAACAGCGATCTCGATTTTCCTTGTGATACCTGTAATTTTGTTTAGAAATGTGAAGTGCCTCTGGTATTTTTAGAATTCGCCTATTATTTTGGTACAGCTTGACTTGTATGGTATGACTGGATGTACCTCGTTTAGGCTATTCTACGTTTTCAAATAATTGTTTTATTGAAAAACAATTATACGGCTACAGTTTGTTTTCAAAGCCTAGCGCCATGGGCGTATCAACAAGGGGGGGGGGGGGGGGGTAAGGGGGGTTCCCCCCCTTCCAGTTTTCAGAGTGGGGCGGCAAGGCATGTGTTTTGCACCCACCCCCCCCCCCCCCCCCCCCCCTTCAAACAGCCGCCACTGGGAAGGGCAAACACTGGCCGGTGGCGCCCAAGGGATACCAAAGGCACCGCTCCCCGGCCCGGGAGGGGGGGATCTGGCTTGCTCCCCTACTCAAAAACAAGTTGGTACGCCACTGCCTGGCGCCCTTGTAATAAAAGGGTACAACATCGAAACTTGAACATATTTCCAAGACATTCCAAACTTGGTTTAATGTGATCCATAATATTCGAAAATGATAATCGCACGCGTGTATGCTGAGCAGATGGCTGTATTTTGTATTCCAAATGCCCGGTTTCGGAGAGTGCTTCGAAATCGCACAGCGAGGAACACAATGTTTCTTGAGACATCCCCCTCGTTCATGACATTTTTAATTCTTTTCACAGCCAAGGCCGGCATGACTGTCAGCTTTGTCACTTGACGACGTCAACGCGTATCACGTGCACTTGTCGAAATACTCAAGTGCTGTACCGTCAGTCATTTTGGCGGCCTCGGCACCTTGCAATGCAGTTTCTATCCGGGGGGAGGGCATTTTTCCGTAGTTGCTTGCGTGATGACTGATCCCCGCGAGCGAGCAATGGTAATAGGGAGTATGCGCACGAAGAGCAAAACACCAACGTTGGGGAACATACCGTGTAATTGCCCTCATCGATGATGACCGAGAAGCTGTTCGTCCCAAAACCCTACTTGTTTGATCGATCTGCTTCGTCGTCGCCAGAAGCAACAGACCCAACCTGTCAAAAGGCCCGTTCACACTCTTGCGACCGAGTACGACTGAGAGAGACGAGATCTCTTACAACTTCTTAAATGTTTCTAGAATGAGAAAACACACTGACTTTGTGGCACCATCTATGCGGATATAGAACTGAATTTCACAAAAGCGAAGGTTTTGCGGGATTTCCGAGGTCAAATGTGCGTAATACCCATAGAAAGGCTCGTTTATAACATTGACAAAAGCTTTTCGAGCCAAAACAAAAAGGATATTGCGCGAGAAATAAAAAAAAAATATGCCGGACCGCCGAGTTTACACAGCTTCCCAATAGATGGCGCCAGTGTGTTCTCTGGTTTAAGAAGTTTTAAGGAACCCAGGTTTAAGAGGTCGCAAGCAGTCGCAAGAGTGTGAACTTGCCTTTAGGGCGCCTTCATGTGCGCTTTGCTTGCGTTTGTTCCGAACGCTTTTTTTTTTTTGTTCAGAAAGGCGTGAAAAAGCATCTCCCTGCACATGCTCCTGGAATTGACTTTGCTATGGAGACATTTAGTTTACTTCAGAGATTTATTTGTATTTTGTTTTCTGTGTGCGCGGGCTGTTAGCATTGTGTACTAAAGAGTATATCATCATCCTAAACAGAGAAGCCATGAGTAACCCTAAAGTGGTCAACTTTAAATTGACTTTCTCCGCCAATGCTTTGCGATTACGTTCAGGCCCAGGCCGCTTCTGCGGGTGAACAGTACTTCCGATGCGCGGCGCTGCTGTCGGGAGACTAACAACGTCATAACATTCCAATGTAGCTTCGTCATCATCTAGTGGGTGCGATTTGGGAATCGTTTTATTTGTTTTCATATTAGTTTTTTGGTGTTTCATCATGAATGATTAATATTTTGGGGGTTGTTGATAAAATAGGGTTCATGACACAGTCTATAAGCAAGAAAAAGTAAGGGTTCAAAATCAGTTCTTTATGACTTGGTAGCAACATGGTTTTATTAGGGGACATTTGTTTAAAACTAACCTTTGTTCATTTCAAGAGTACGCAGGTTGGCTCAATTTATTTTTATCGTTCTAAGGTTTTCGTGAAGGTTGATAACTGTGTGCTTCTACAAAGCATTTTAAAATATAGTATCACCCCTAACCTTTGAAGATGGGTTTCTAATTACCTGTCATCGAGAAGACAAAAAAAATATTTTCGTGTTAAAATTGTTTTATCAAGTGCGTTTTTTTTTCAACCGTGAGCTTTTAAGGCATGCGTATGAGGTCCGTTGTTGTACCTTATACTTATAAATAATGTTTCCCATCGCATACATTTTTTATACTTTGTTTACCCGTAAGCCCAGACTGGAGCCAAAGGTACACGCGCAATCCAGCCCGAGCTCCTGGCTTTGAGATATACATTTCTAACACGAGTGCTCGTCCCCTCGCTTTCGTGCTTGTTGCAGTATGTGCAGTCTCAGCTTAAGGTAAGGGTGAACGGAGTATAGGGTGCTTCTATGTGCAGATGACATAAAGTTATTCTCACATGCTTGTTTCGAAATACATTGCGAAACGCTGCAGTCTGACATCTTGAGTATTTCTAAGTGAAGTGCGTTGAACCGACTGCCTCTGAACGCGAAAAACATGAGTTACATTGCTTTTAAGGCAGAGAGATCGATTAAATTTTAAACACAACTTGGAAAACAGTACTATTTCTCGAGCTGACGTGATGAGGGACCTTATTGCTTTATAGTCGATCACCAGCTCACGTTCAAATACCATGACTTTAACATTTGTAGTACCGGTTTTGAATTGCTTGGCCTTATTTTACTTATAACTAGGCACTTTAGAACACCTTATGCTATGTTAAGTTTATTTTCCGTATTGGTCAGGCAACGACTTGAATTTGCTTCTGCTCTGTGGAACAGTTTATCGGAAGGTGAATGTAGGCGCCTTGAAGCGGTACAAAGGCGTTTGGTTCGCATAGTATATGATAGAGATTTTCACTAGACAATAAACTCCGAGTATTTTTTTCTTGTTAAGGTTTAAAATCTCAGGATTTTAAGTACCCGTATGAATTCTTTAGGTGAAGTATTTTTTAAAAAAACTCCTCCAAGGTCGTACTGATGCACTGGATCTTTTGGGCAGCATAAAGTTCTGTATCCCGGCGAAATTCACGAGACTTTAAGGAGTGCTGTATTCCGACAAGCAATTTGAATGATCCCCACTGCATCAAACTAACTTTTTTTTTTTTTGCAACAGCGAACTGCTCAGCAGAATTTCTTTTCTCTGACCTAATTCACCTTTGGCTAGCCAAATATATTTGTATATGATTTAATATTGCCACGCGCGTCGGCGAGCAAGAGCGTGCGTGGCGTGGCGCTCTATCCTGCGGTTTCGCCGAAATCAACGCACGCGACGCTCTGCTTTTTTCTTCTGTTCCCATTTTTGTTTTGGGCACAACTTCGCCACAGTGAACGTTTAGTTTCTTCAGCTATCTTCACCTCATCAATTGTCATTCGTGACAATATGACTTAGGCTCTCTTAGAAGCTATATATGTTTATTGTTTTTTGTGTTGTATCTTATTTTTTATATCAAGGGACTTTTGCTGCGCACCAATATCAAGATTGCAATGGTGTTTTGGGCACGTAATCAACATCAACATCAAAGCGGGGTATGCTCGGTATATCCGGATGAAGACAAATGAGGATAGCGTGCAATGCATAGGACCATTTTGAAGCAATATGCTGCACTTTTTATTCTAATCAAAACGAATAATGTGTATCCTTCCATAATGCTCAACTCTAATGTAGTCCTCCTCAAAACGGCCCTCATGTGGTCAACCCCCTTTTCCGAAGGAAAGAACAAAGCAGAGATAACTAGTTTATTTCGAAAGCTCTTTTTCGGCGTAGTTGCTTGAAATTAATGGCATTACAACGATTATACCCCAAACACTATTTGCAGGAATTTCAATCACGGGGCCAACAAACGATGGTACCCTGGAAATCGACTGTGGACGGCGTCAGCAAGAAGATATTGTGTCAGAACGAATCGTTAATGGTACCACGGCACGTCCTGACCACTGGCCGTGGATGGTGGGGTTGTATGATGCTAATGACACATTATATTGTGGTGGCGTTTTAATAAGCCGCCAGCATGTGTTGACCGCTGCTCATTGTTATAAGTACGTATATATTTATTTGTTTTTAATAGCAACAAAATTATGCTTCCAGTATCTCTATTTCTTTCGGGGATTTCATGATGGCTATTGTTGGTTCATAAACGTCGGGCTGTTGCCGACGTGCAGAGACGAGCCACGAAAGTTCGGGGCATTGCAAATACGTATACATTTCTGAGGCACCTCTTGGCCCTAGTTGATACCTGTAAAATTTTTAAAAATAACCAGTGCGTGTGGGATTTTCTAATTGAAGCCCATACGGCGGGTGCGCGATCACGTTCTTCTAGGAAGTCAGTCTTTTAAAATAAGTAAAGTAGGAGAGAAGTGTCTTCTCCTCTTCAATATATTTGGGTATAAAAATCAATGTAATGAAATTAGGAAAGCTGTGGTTTTACCCAAAGTCGCTGTTCAGATTAAGCCTCTCCGATCGCGCATTTCTTTGGGGCTGAAATCTGGATTGTGCCTGATAATATAGGGCCTCACAAAGCCCGAAGACCTGAAGGTAAAACTAAAGGATCTAACGCCTAAAGGATAACGCCTAGGACGACCTCTCGGACGACCTCAAGGACGACGTTTAGGACGACGTCAAGGAGGACTTCTAGGACGACCTTGAGGACGACGTCTAGGATGAAATCAAGGACGAACTTCTAGGACAACCTCGAAGAGGACGCCTAGAGGACGACGCTTATGACAATTTCTCGGACTCGGACGACCTCAAGGACGACTTTTAGGACGACCTCGAGGACGATGCCCACAGAGACTAACGATAGATTTGGACCTCACTATCTAATGATGCCAAGGAAGGCTGACTCACGCTGGTTACTTCCTCTTTTCATTCTTATTTATTCATACTTGCTCGACCAATGGAGAGGTTTCTGTGAACATCCGCGGACGCATTTTCCCCAGATCTTAGCGCATAACAGCTTTGCTGTAAACAATAGAATCAGCAGTAATAAAACAAAGCCTTATAAAATTCCCAAAATAATGCGCGGCTGAGCCGAAAGGTTTTCCTTCAACTTTTAGGACTGTACTTGTGCTCGCTTCTTGTTGAGTTTCAGAACAACATTTAAAATAAAGCACGGGGTCTGCATCGGCTCCTTGGTTGCCCCGGCGCTAAATGAAATATATCAGAGCGCGGTGGACGTGCACCTAAACACTGAGATTTTTCGATAGATTAACTCTGGAGAACTGTATATATTTCGCGTTGTGGATGGCTACCTGGTCACGCATACTCGTCAGAGAATTAAAGGGCAAGACATAGCAGCATGATTTTAAAAATGCTCGCTCGGCCTGAACTTCATGTAAGACGCAAGAGGTAAAAAATAACTGCAGTTGTTAGATATTAAAATTATAAGTAAATACGGAGAGATGTGTTGGATTTACGAACAGAGAACAAACAAGCCGCACACCCTTTCAGAAGTTCGCATTCGAAAACGCTCAAACATGCCATAGTAGATTGGGTCTAATCCTCAGCCTTAAAAATGTCCTGCATTCACACAGCTGCAGAGTGCCTAAATAACTACGTTCAACGCTTCAGGTGCGCAGGGTACCCCGCGGACAAAGTAAAAATTTTGGCATCACGACTAATTACATCGAAACAAAAAGGAAAAAAAAACAACGATAGACTCAAAAAATGTACATCACAATCAACTACACTCATGGATTTTCTTCAAATAAAAAAGCTTCTGGCAGGGTGCTGCAACACTCTGTTCACATGCCAAAATAAGCGCGCAAAAATAGTACCAAAGGTCAGCAGAAAACCAAGCCCAGATGAGCAATGTCAGAGAATCCAGAATATACAATTAGTGAAATGTGAACATAACGCACTATATTCCATCCCACTTTGACGTGGAAAAACTTGTGCAGGAGAAGCAAAATGAATGCCTAAAAGAATGTCAATATAAACTAACGATCACCGGGGAGCCTCAATTGAAAGCGCACGTCAATTACTGCGGTTGTGTCATCCAATCTTTGAAATAACCGTAGCAGTCAATAGGCAAAGTAGAAGGCTGAATTAAGAGGTAATAGAAGACCTTCTTATTCAGAGAAGGGGCGACGACAACGTAAACCAAAAATCGCTGCACTTGACCGACGAGAAAGAGCGATTCTTGAAGGCGGAACTGGAGAAATATGTAGGAGAGAGGAAAGCGGTCTAGCCGGTCGGGGGAGACGATTTGAGAAGACATCGTCGAAGCGGTGGAAGTAAAATCCAATGGAATTTGGTAGATTTGTTGTAAGTCGAACACCGTCCGTGTCTGTTGTGCTTTTCCTTGTTTGTCCTTTGTTCATTCTTGCGCTCAAAAAACTTTCGATATGTTCAAAGAACACGCTATTACATTCAATACTTTATTTAGGTGTTCCCAATTTTGGGCGAAGCTAATCAGTTCAGCAAACAATATAGCTACCTAGGTTTTTGTTTATGTTGGTTGTTTTGTATGAAGTGTATCCAATTGAATGTTTGGCGGTGCTTCCCCTTTGCCAACACAACATTCGCCAAAGCCCCCGCATGCCTCGGGGACTGAAAGGGTGAAGACGAGGAAATGGAGGATCCAAGGAACGACAAGCTGGCAGGTTCGAGACATCGCCGAAAATCCGTGGTGTCCGGCCGATGTCCAAGTTCTCTGTCATTTAAATAGTTTGGTTTTAAGTGAATTATCTAGTAACGTTCCTGACTGCCTGACCGCGAATAGGGAACTAATTCGAAGTTTGCCAACGGAGCAGAGAAACCCCCGCAAAGCTCTGAGATTTTTTTATTTTTTTTATTAAGGCCCAATTTTGCGTTAATCGAGGTATTGCATTATATATTTATATACTCCATCATGACTCTCAACATGTGGAATTGATCAGAGTCACAATAAACGATTACGAACCACAGTGTGTTATAACATAAATGCCTAGAGTTATTTTAATCGCAAAGTGTGTCATACTCATTATTAGCACTCTTTATTTTTAGTGCTGAATTTTTATGTACGCGGTGTTTTAAGCTGAGCCGCTAAATTTGGTAACTTTAGCTGAGATTAGCGCGACAATGCTGGTGCCGCGCTAATTTTCGGGGAACGAGTTTTCGATAATTTTCACGAGATATAAGTCCGCTACAATATGCGTGTTAATATATTTGTGTTACAATTGTTAAAATCTTTTACAATAAATCTTTATCTCTAAACATAATTTATTACAAAATGGCGCCGTATGAATGCTTTAAATAACAGGGCGTCGAGCTCTGAAAACACTGACTCAGAGAAACTCACATATTAAGAACGGCGAGCTGAGTATGTGCGTCACAATCTCTACGGGGTGAATAAAGTTAGGCTGAATATTTTTTGTGCACTTTTAACTCAAGAATGTAAGCATTACCATTGGCAATAAAAGATTAAAATGCACTACCTGACCACATTGCTCTAAAAATGATACTAATATATTTGCAGCAGCTACTAACCATTTCCTTGGTAACCCCTTAAGTTATATTACAGTGTCTTAGTAGTGCGTTAATGTTGTGTCCATTGTTTCTATATTTATTTATTTATATGCACGCGCCCTTCCTTGGGTAATGCCCACAGAGGCTTTTTAGGTAAAATAAGTGATGATGATAATGAGTACGTGTTTAGCGTGGTTAACTTCGCGAAAACGTAAGACTTGACTGTGCAACGCAAAAGGCATTACGACGTTAATTACTATAACAGCGAAACCGCTACTGCAGGTATTCCTCGCGGATTGCGCTTCATTTCCATTAAATGGCGTAAACGATCACGTGCCCACAGCGTCAACCGATTCATGCCAGATGTCGCGACTTCAATCGCTGTTCTACAATGATTGTACCAAGGCTACCTGACCCAAAACCTCTTTATTTTACATATAATAAAATTGTCACGTATAACCTTAGCGCTGCCGCAGTACCCTGTTTAGCTTTAGCTTTCGGCACAACTCTGGGTATACGAGTCGTAGATATTTTGGTTTGGTTTTATAGTTATCGCGACACAAATATAAGTCGTCGTGGAACTGCTAAGAATTTTTTTCCACCAGTCACTTTAATTAGATGAGCTTTTTGTGTTCTTGCAAAGATTACAGCAATTTAAGCCCAAGTGCAAACTTTTCCTCTTTCCCTTTAATGCCTCCAGAGACAAGAACACTACGGGCTTCCTTTCAGTTCGTCTGGGAAGTACGAACCGAACGAATTTCTCTGTAGATTGTCACCAAAACACATTAAAAAGTCAGAATCTAGAACTAAGTGACACCGCAGTCAGGCATGAGGAGCCGGAAGACAAGGTCATTTGCGTGGAGGTTGATGATGTCTGTATCCCCGTTCAGGGCAACAACTGTACAAATTTTATGGTACGTATACCTTTTTTGGAAAAATCTTTAAGCAAGGTTTGTTTAAACTACTGTATTCCATTACAGATAGACCTCGCTCTATTGAAATTAAAAAGACCTGTCAATTTTACAAAACACATTCAGCCAATCTGCCTTCCTACAAACTGCGAAGAGCCACCTTCAGATGTTACCATATATGGTGTGGGATGGGGCAGAGACTATGGTAAATTGTTTTCTCACCTTATCTTGTACCACCTATCATTATCTTAAGCAAATTACGAAGGTGCGTAAATATTTAAGAAAAAAATGCCATGAAAGTGAGGCCTTCCAAAGAAGCAAATTGTCTGGTGCATGTGACGGAGTTTAATCAGCGACAAACTGCGGAAACTCAAACGCGATAGAGAACCGGGTGCCGCTGCCACTATCTCATTCCTTCATTCATTTCTCACATAAGGCGTTCAGACACTCGCTAGTATCTGAAACATTTAATGCCAAAAATTTTTTCAACATATTTGTACATAATGATCGACGGTGTTCTGAAATCTCGTATTTAAAAGAACGCACAAGAAAAACGCGATTATAATTATTTTCACAGTGAACAAACTGGATCCTATTGTACATTTTTAATCTATGTTAACTCTTCTAATATGACGTTTGTATGCCGCAGCAAAATTACGAAAGTCACGCAAAACGTATATACCTGAAGCACGCCCAGGAATATTCGTATATATAAAAACTGAGCCCGTAAAATTATTTGTATTAACCTGCCAAATAACTCAGAATTTCTCCATAAATTAAAAAAAAATTATTTTCATCATAAATAAACTTTTCTTTGTTGTTGCGAAAGGTATTATCATCGTCGACAGCAAAATTATTAGGAGTTTATCAGCGACTCGTTGTTAAAAAAGGAACTTTCTGCATGTTCCCGACGCAAATGATTGCCTAGTGCAGCTGGAGCAGTAAAGCCCAAGCGAATTGCTGATAAAAATAATGCCATGCCTATATGTTGTGCTTTTTATTATAATCAAAATATCCTAGTAAGTACTTATGAGAAATAGTAAATACAAAACGTAATTATTATGTCAAGTATCTGTCAAGTTAATATCAGTAAGTAATACGCTAATAATGTGAGTTCCACCACTAGCAGCCCAATATCTGGAGACATCCCAAAGATACAATTAATAAACTTATATTTCTATTTCAATGATTTTTTCTTTATGGTAAAAAAGAAATCAATCCCAGGAATTGTGTCATACAAATGTATCGTCTATTTCGTTTAATTAACACCATTCTAAATATTCACAACTTCAGATCTAATCCAAGTAAACAATTAATAATCAATTAAATGCTACCAATAAACATGTAAACATTGAATGGTGCGTATACCTAACAATAACCGAAATGTAATCAAATATTTCCAGAGGACTATACCTTTTCCGACGAGTCTTCTAATGAAACAACTGAATATTCGGCTGAATATTCGGACTATGCGGGAAGTTCAACAGAGGAAGAATCGAGCGAAACCTCAGCGTGGGAATCAGAGAGCGCTCCGGTTTTTACTTACCCAGATATGCTAATGGAAAGAAATATAACCATTATTAGTAATGAGGAATGCGCAAGTCAGCTTGCAAGAGGTGTTCCAAATTACACCCTTTGCTCGGCTGGTGGAATTTGTTATGTGAGTAGAAATAATTTTTCGACACATTCTCTTGCAAACAAGAGTAAAGGCCCAGTTTTTTCTTTTTGTTTTGGTCTATAACACAGCAGATAACAAAATTACTCGATGTACGATAAAGTATAATTATGCACTTGTAATTGAAATATTGCTAGAGTAATTTGGCTTTAGAAAAGTTGAGCGAAACAAACCAATTCTATCCTGCATGTCAAAAGGAGTGCGATTTAATTCGAACTCCAGACTCTACTAAGACGAGAAATTTTCTTAGTATTCTGCTGAAAGCAAGATTTTTTCTGAGAATTCTTGATTGCACAACAGGTATCAAAATTTCTACTAAACACTTTTGAAAGTGCCTGATGAACTCATGGTGCACGATGAACTCGCGCCACTTTATTTCGCTTTGTTGAAAAAAGTTTAAAAAAAGAGAACTTCCTGGTTAGTTTTCACCTTTAACTATCGCCTTTTTTAGTTTCTTCACATATATACCTTTCCAGCGGCCGTCTGGAGCGTCCCTGGTTTTGAGAGTATAAGTCAGTGTTGCCCGACTGCGCTGGGCTGCGGGTTTTCTCGTCATTAGGGTGTGGAAGCAAGCGTAGGCACAATTCCCTACGGTGGTGTCGGCTAAATTGATTTGTTTTATTTTGTTTTTTGCATTCTATGATGATAAGTATTTGTCAAGGTCTTTAAGAAAGCACTGCCCTATTTTTGGGAAGAAAAACAAACAAATGAAAGCTATTCTTGGTGAGTCCGTGTGCGACAGAAAAAATGCAACTGGAATGTATGTCTTTCTTGTTATTTAGATTTTTTCTTTTTACGACGCCATACACTCAGCCTTGTCAATCTACAAATGTCTTAACTGCCGAAAATATTCGAACACACCACCGAATAGCCGAACTGCATGGGCGTTCCCCGCTCACAACATGAAATTCAACAAATCTCATCAATCGAAAAACATATATTGTACGTACCCCACGCCGCCGCATAATCCGAACAGGATTTGAGAGAGAGAGAGATTTTGGGGGTTTATGGCGCAATAGCTATGAGGCCATCTGCGCCAAACTAATTGAAGGTTTGTACTATAAAACAGGTTTTACAAAACGGCTAACCAAAAAGCTATAATCGGTATAAAAGGCCAATACTACCAAGAAATTATATTACTCGTTCAAAAGAGACCAGAGGATTCTCTCCCAGAAGGAGAGCAGGATGAAATGGGATATGATGTTGAAAAAATTCAGGGAAATGAATGCGGTGCTTGGGCTCAAGACCAGGGCACAACCACAAGATATGCAAAACAGTGAGCCTATCACCACACTGATCGCAGACTGGTGGATCTTCTCCCGAAAGCAGATGCCTATGGGTTACAAAAGAGTGTCCGATTCTCAGACGGCACAACAACGTTTCATGAAGTCGGCTCTTGCATGAAGAGCGTTCCCAAACTGCCAAAGCCGGTTTGGTAACATGAAGCTTGTTACCGCACTCCATGTCCCATTCCAATTGCCAAGAATGAAGAATCGAGGACTTCACCAAGGGCTTAATATCTTGATAGGGTAAACAGGACAGAGATTGTGGAAGGTTACCGGCAGACCCTGCAAGCTTGTCGGCTTCTTCATTACCTTGTATGCCAATGTGACTGGGTACCCAACAAAATTTTATATTTTGACCTCCATGCAAAGCAGTGTTAAGTTTATATTGAATCTGTTGTACAAGCATATTTTTAGTGTCTTTAAGAGAGTAAACTGCAAGAATCACACTTTGAGAGTCAACAAACAGGACCGCCCTCAGTATTCTCCTATTGATAATGCATTCGATCGCCATTGATACCGCATAGAGTTCCGCCGTAAAAATGCTGGCGACACAATCGAGTCGTTGAACCTTGGAAAAGCGTTCTGAATACACAGCGCAACCGACAAAAGAAGAAGTCTTGGCACCATCTGTATAAACATGAAGATAACCATCATACTTAGTTTGCAGTTCACCAAACTCTTGGATAATTACAGCATGGGAAATGCCGTGCTTGTCGAACTTCGCAAGAGACCAGTCAGATTCAACTCGCTGTGCTTTCCAAGGTGGAATACCGTTGACTTTCCTAACGAGGCCGACCTCGCCCAGAGGAAGGTGCAGAGAAGTGCGAAGATGTTCAATACGGAAGCTTAACGGAGTCACAATGCTTGGTTTATTTTCAAAAAGGCGAAAGAACCTTGACCTTGTAAGGGAAGAGTATGTCGGATGCTGGGGGTTGGCCAGAATCTTATAAGCATATGTTAGACTAAGATATGTACGTCGTTTGTTCAGGGACAGCTCATTGGATTCTGCATACAAACTGAGGACGGGCGACGTCCGGAAGGCTCCTGTTGCCAGTCGCAAGCCGAGATGGTGAACTGGGTCCAACATTTTAAGGGCAGAAGGCCGAGCCGATCCATACACTACTGCACCGTAGTCAAGACGGGATCGTACAAGGGCGTTGTATAACTGCAGGATACATTTTCTATCAGACCCCCAAGACTTGTGAGATAAAACTTTCAAAAGGTTTGTGGACTGAAGGCATTTTTGCTTCAGAGCTTTAAGGTGGGAAATAAAGTTAAGCTTTTTATCAAATATTACACCAAGAAATCGGTGCTCCTTTTTAACTGGAATAGGTGTTCCATTTAATTTCAGGGAGGGATCCAAAGACAGCCCGCGTCGCAAAGAAAAAGGAACACAGACCGTTTTTGAAGCAGAGAACTTGAACCCATTTTCGTCGGCCCACTTGGACAATTTGTTTATGGCTAACTGCAACTGGCGCTCACAACTAGAAAGGTTACAGGACGATGATGAAATCTGTATATCATCAGCATAAAGAGAATACGAAATAGATTGTGGCAGCAGTCGTGCGAGTGAATTCATTGTCAGCAAAAACAAAGTCACACTTAAAACACCCCCTTGAGGGACTCCATTTTGTTGAACAAAGGAGTCAGATAGGGCTGAGCCGAGACGAACTTGGAAAGTCCTGTCTGTCAGATATTCCTTTATGCTTCGCAGCATACGGCCCCGGATATTACAGGCATACAGGTTTCGGAGAATCCCATATCTCCACGCTGTGTCATATGCCCTTTCTAAGTCGAAAAAAACCGCAACACAGTGCTGCCTGTTTACAAATGCCTCACGTATCACAGTCTCCAGGCGAACTAAGTGGTCAAGGGTAGATCGACCTTGGCGAAATCCACATTGATTGTTATCAAAGACCCTCTGGCTTTCTAACATGTAGACCAGTCGCCTGTTTATAAGCCTTTCATATGTCTTCCCAAGGCAGCTTGTGAGTGCAATTGGGCGATAGCTTGATGGTTGTGAGGGGTCTTTGTTAGGCTTTAGGAGGGGGATGATATGTGCGTGTTTCCAAGCCTGAGGGAAACATGCCTTTTCCCACAAAAGATTAAAAAACAGGAGAAGGTTTTCAAGGGATTCTGGAGAAAGGCGGCGCAGCATTTCATAATGAATTCCATCGGGACCAGGGGCAGAGAGCTTTCTCACATTAAGAGCCATCTCAAGCTCGCATCCCGTAAATGGTTGGTTATACGATGCCGAGTTTCCTCCTGACATGACAAGCTTTTGTCGTTCCGTACGAACTTTTAACTGTCCGAAGGAAACACTGTAGTTGGTCGAACTAGATGAATTATAAAAATGTTCCCCGAGTATGTTACCAATATCTTTTAGAGACGAAGAAGGAGCATTAAACGTTGGAATGGCAAAGCACCTGTAATCCCCATTTACTTTCCTGTATCTGTCCCAGGCCTCTTTGGCTGGGACAAAGCTGGTTAAAGAAGAGAGATACTTCATCCACGACTTCCGCTTTGCCTGCTTCCTAGTCCAACGAGCCTTGGCTTTTCGTCGCTTGAACTCAACAAGGTTGCTTGAAGTGGGGTATCTGCGAAATCTGCCCCACGCCCTATTCTGGTCCGCCCGGGTTGTGGCACACTCCTTATTCCACCAAGGTTTACATCTTTTGGGTATATTACCAGATGTTTGGGTAATGGACTACTGAGCAGCCTTTAGTATCTGCTCAGTAACATAAAGTGTAGCGTTCTCAGGGGACATAGAAGAAAGAAGCGAAGGATCTAAAGTGGAGTGAAGATTAAAAAGTGCCCAGTCTGCCTTGTCTAACTTCCACCTAGGAACCCGCTTTAAAAGATTAGGCAATGGAACGGTACTTTCTGAAACAACTGAATAATGATCACTTCCAAAAGGGTTATGAAGAAACTTCCAGGAGAAGCAAGGAAGTAATGAAGGTGAGGCAATTGAAAGGTCAATGGATGTGAATGTGTTGTGTGCCGCACTAAAAAAAGTTGGCTCTCTCCCGTTAAGAAGGCACAGCCCAGAAGACAATAAAAGACGTTCAATTACACCACCACGGGAGTCCTGACGGGTACTACCCCACATGGATGATGAGCGTTAAAATCACCTAAAATTAAAAACGGTTGAGGAAGCTGTCCAACAAGTCCCTGCAGCTCTTGAAGATTTAAAGGAACATTTGGTGGTAAGTATAAAGAAACAAGCGTTACAAGGCGGTCCACGAGGAGACGCACTGCAACTGCCTCCAGAGGTGTGCGGAGTGGGACTTGAGAGCAAGCGACTCCACTCTGCGCAACTACTGCAACGCCACCTGAAGGAGTGGAAGCGGGACGGTCTTTCCTGAAAACCTAATGGCGCCTTAAAATGTTAAAAGAATTAGAGTGAAGATGGGTTTCTTGCAAGGCAAGAGCGATGGGTCGAAGCTCATCCATGAAATGATTGACATCATCAATATTTCTTAAAATATCGCGACAGTTCCATTGCATAAAATGTAACTTCATCATCTATTAAAAAAGTGTGTAAATATGTAAATATAAGAAGATAAAACCTAGTAAAATAAATAAAGCTATGGAGAGCCAACTCGAGCTAGGTGGAATATGTGACCACAATACGGCAGCTATTGGGGTCATCACTTGGGCGCTACTACAGGTTGCTTCTTTTTAGATTTACGAGAAGCTGTCTCCCATTCCATACCATCCTGGTCAGACCCAGGAGTAGACTGACTGTCAGCATCAGTTGGTATCTCCATGTCCTGGGAAGTGTCCGATGGATGGAGCATGACGGAGCTGGTCCGGCCTGGCACGCGCGGGGGAAAACCCCGGCCACGACCGGATGGAGGAGTGGCGGACGAACTGGGCGAGGGGTCACCCAAGTTCGTCTTGACACCTCCTTTCACAGGAGCTGCATGGGTATCATGCTGCTCCTTCAGTAGGGGAACCCTCTCCACCGAGCAGGAGCGAGAAGCTCGCTCCTCCCTAGGAGGAGACCTAGGAGAGGGGGAAGGTGCGGCTGCTGCCGGCCTGTCCTTGGATAGAGGGGCAGCACGCGTGCCACCACCAGGGGCTGGAGGAAGCTGCTGCTGCCCTGGTCGGGGAGCCGGGGCCCTAAGGTCGGCCGCCAAGATCTCGGGAGAGACCTGGGTGGCCCTCGACTCCGAGCGTGGTGCAGGGCCCCTGCGCACCGCCTCAGCATAACTACCCTTAGACAAAAAGGAAAAACGCTTTTTTGCTTTTATGTATGTGATATTTTCTTTGACTTTAAGGGTAAGAATATCTTTTTCTTGCTGAAAGAAAGGACAGCTGCGGTAGTAAGCGGGGTGTGGTCCACCGCAGTTAGCGCAATGGGCCACGGCCTCGCAAATGTCGGAGACGTTGCCTTGACTTCCACACTTTGCTCATGTCTCCCTTCCGCGACAGCTGCGTGATCCGTGGCCAAAACGCTGACAACGGAAGCACCGCTGTGGGTTGGGGACATAAGGGCGGATGCGGCAATTAAGGTAACCTGCTTTAATTGTCTCTGGTAGAGTGTGTCTCTCGAAAGTCAAAATAACATGCTTCGAGGGAATTTCTTCACCATTCTTTTTAAACATTATTCGTTTGACGGCGACGACACCAGAGCCTTCGAGGCCCTCAAGAAGTTCCTCCCCACTGGTATGAAGGAAGTCATCCTCAGAGAGGACACCACGAATGGTGTTAAGTGTACGGTGAGGGCTCACCGACACTTTCAAGTCAACAATGTTGGTCATCTTAGAGAGTGCTTCACTTTGTTTTTTTGTTTCTACCTCCACAAGGAGGTCTCCACAGTGGAGCTTCTTAGCCTTAGAGGAGAACCCTACAAGGTGCTCGAGAACTTTAGCTACAACAAAGGGTGAGAGCTTTGCAACTGGTTTCTGTTCATCCAGCGAATGAATGACAAAAAACTTTGTAAAGGCTTCTTCTTTAGATTCTTTTTCAATGGTCTCGGGTTCAAGACAAGCCTTTTAGAGGCTTGCCCTGAACGGGGTTTGGAGGGGTGGGGCGCCATAGGAGGGCAAAGAGTGTTCAGAATCCGCGGTGCACCGCCCACCACCGAGCCCAACAAGGGGTTAGGTAACGCACCATAACAAGATGGGCTTGGCTGGAGACGTTACGCTAACAGTGCTGCCGGGAAACTATAAACAAGTGTGGATCTGGACGAGGGTATCTGTCACCACCCAAGGTTAGCCCTTGCCGCCAAAGAAGGTGAAATAAGAAGGAGAGGAGAAGAAGAAGAAAGGTATAGAAAGGAGAGGTGGAGAAAGGCGACTGACTGAATCATCCTGGTCGGGCCAAGCCAGGACACCCGTCTACGAGAAGCAGGGGCCGAAGCGGTGTATTGCCTCGCCCGGGGGGCCTCGAAGGGTCCAAACATACCCCGGGCTCGGCTCAACCACCAGGGTCCCCTTTTTCCCGGACACGGGTACGCCACGCACAGCCAGACATGGGTGGGCGAACCCACATGGCTCGGGGTTCGTAGTGACGCCACTCACCAAGCACCTACTAAAGTAGGTGCCCCCTGCGTGCGGGTATGGTGGCCCACGCGGCTGGGGTCCATGGTGACGCTACTCACCAAGCACCTAGCACCTAAGGTGCAGGCGCCCCCTGCGGGGCTCGGGGTCCGTGGAGACGCCACTCTCCAAACACCTGCTTTCACAGGTGCCCCCTGCGGGGACAGGATTTGAGAAAGATCTCCCATAACAAGGCATATCCAGTATACATTGTCCACGATTGTCACTTCACGACTATCGGGCGGAATCCGGCTTGTCTTCGGGCATGTTTTGAAGACTAGTGATTTTTGCACAGCACCAAAGCAAATGAATGAACGTGTCTACTCCATCCCCATACTGCAACCCCTATCAGCTATTTTTCGCCAAGACCAGGAACATAGCAGGGAAGCAGTTTAAGAGATTATCTTAACGGAAATATCCTCGCAGAACGTCGAACGGCCCGCGTCGCGGGCTACTTGACGTTCGATTTTTTCGTTTGTTTCCTGCAAAGGCCAAGCAGGCTACGAGCCCTGGCATTCCCTGGTTTTCACAGCGAAAGATAGCGCAAAACACGTAAGCATTCTGAACAGGCATATAAAGTAGAAAATGTCAAGGAAAGCCGGAGAGCTCCGAATGCACAATACAGGTGGGGAGTCCCGTTGACCGGGTTTCCATGACTCAGGTGGGTGGCAGAAATTTCTGGCTGATAGGGGACGCTCGAGTCGCAAAATGGCGGCGGCCAGAAAGCACTTTTTGCAAAGGTCAATAGACGGGTTAGGGGAACACTATATCGCGGATTCCTTCATAAAAAAGCTGACAGATAGGTGCGTAATTATCTCTTTTTTTGTGTCAAGACATTCCCCCAAAAACAAATAGGAGCCATTGCAATATGACAATCCTGGCAACATAAACATGCATTATTTAAATGTAGCTTTTAAGTGTAAATAATTGAACTGTTAATTTAGCGTTGCCGATGTTGACAAAAAGGTGCAGTGTTTATTTTAGACTAGCGCTTAACCTTGAGATCAATGAAAAATATTGCCATGTGACTTTAAAATCTAGGGCGAGCTTGAAGCTGCCTATTATTTTCAAGGTCTCTTTCCAAGAAAGAACAAAGCACAGTGTACAGTGTTATTGATCGGGTCGTAAATGTTGAATTGAAGCGGGCAAGAGACACCGTATTTAGAATTTCACAACGTTTTCGTGAAATGCTCATAATCCGTTAATGCGAACACGCAATATATGACCCTCTCAAAGCAGAAACCTATATCTTTGTTCATAAAATAGACATAATTTATAGATATTTTTCCGCGGGATGTCTATTATGGCTCGTACATAAGAGTTTTCGGTTTCGCATTCTAAAAACAAATGAAGGAAACTTGAATGCCAACCGAATGCTGACGCTGCACTCGCCTCCTAAGTGATTGGGCACAAGTTTTAGCTGAATATCTTACTTGAGTAGGTCCCACTTACTCCCGCAGTTCACCTCACGTGTTAGGGGTAGAGCGCCAGCGACACGCTCTACTCCTAGCGCACGTCAAACAAGCGAACGCCGGGCTTTTGGCGTTCTCACTGGGCGCGCGCTTTCCTTTCTTTTTTTTTTTTTCTTTCTTAGCGCTTTCTGATTAAGGTTGTTCAAGAGGAAGTTAGAGTGCGGCCAGACGTTTTCATCGTTTCAGTTCCGGTATTTCGCTTCCCTGCATTGTGGTGCCAGAATTGCCACAATGCCAGGACAAACGGCGGCTCCGTTATCGCATCCACCTCGGCGCTGCATCACATTATCTCACCCCTGTCTTTGACACAATTATTGAAAGAAAAGTTATATAAAAAATGAAAGAGGTTTACAACCCCCTATAACGCCGAATTAGAGCGCAGCTCTTGAAGAGGAGGATTGGAAGGTACGCAGTGCAGGTTATGCCCCTCCTCCTCATCCGTACCCTCCCTTCCTCCTCTCCTGTTCTATTTAGCGAAATATTTCCGCTAAATTTCCCGCTAAATTTAGCAGAAAAAAATCCCCGCTAAAATTAGCGTTTTTTTTTCGCTAAATTTAGGAGGGAATTTTTTCCACTAAATTTAGCGGGGAAATATTTCCAAAAAATTGAGCAGGTATATTTTTCCTATAAATTTAGCGGGGAATTCTTTCGCTAAGTTTAGCTGGGAAATTTTTTCGCTAAGGTTAGAGAAAAAGTTTTTGGCTAAAATTAGCGAAACGATTTTCCTGCTAAATTTAGCGGAAATGTTCCCCGCTAAGTTTAGCGAAAAAATTCCCCGCTATAAGGAAAGAGGGACATTTAAGACAAACAGACAAGACTGTCTTGTCTCTTTGTCTTAAATGTCCCTCTTTCCTTATCGTGAATTAATAACCAACATGCTCAACCATCTACATTCCCCGCTAAGTTTAGCGGAAAACTTTTCCCGCTAAATTTAGCTGATCAATTCTTCCTCTAGGTTTAGCGGGGAATGGTTTCCGCAAAATCTATCGTATAATTTTTTTTTTTGGCTAAATTTAGCGGGGAAATTTTTCCGCTAAATTTTACGGGAAAATTTACCCATAATCCAACGAGCGGTGACGTCACCAGTGACCTCGCTCGTGACTCTTGTGACGTCACACGGGACGTCACGTGTGACTTAATTATGGAAAACGCCCCATAATGCAACGCGCGGTTACGCCGACGACGACGCTGACGCCGACGGGCGCCTAAGAGCTCGGCTCTAAAATATAAAAACATATCGGCCGTGAGTACCTTCGGACGAGTGCAGTGTTGCTCCACCCACCAGGGAGCATAAAAAATTTCAGCAATTGATGCAAAACTTGTTTCGCAAGCATAAAACAAAAATAGTTGTCCCTGACCTAAAATTTTGATGTAGGCCTCGGCGGAAAATTTCTTTAAATATATTTTTGTAGTTTTTTATTTATACCAGGGCGTCGAGACGGCAATCCAGGAACGACAAACTCACAAAATGTTACGAAATAGGCGAAGGCAGTTGCTATGACATGCACCACCAGCTTTCTTGCGAGACTCAATTCGAGGGATTGCATCTGCGAAAGTCTTCAGTGTATTCCTTCATCGTTTCCGGGAATGGAGAGAAATCGATTTTTTTTCCTGTTTTCAGGGAGACAGCGGGGGACCTTTAATGTACAAGAAAGAAGGAAGGTGGTTTCTCGTTGCAATCAATTCCGCTCGACGGGAGAGTTGCTATCATCCTGTTGAGCCCACCATACATGTTAGGGTATCACACTTCGTCGACAGCTTTATTTTGAAGATGATTAAGCACCAGGAGGGGTCTCAAGAAGAAGGGACAAAAGGCTTATGCGCCAGGGATGAGGACCGGAAAAAATGTGTACAGCAGTTTTTTAGCTCCTACAACCGATCAATAAATGAATAAATAAGGAAATAAAACTTAATTCAAGTTATTGCAGATACATGTCATCAATCTTGAAGTGAGTTGTAATTAGTCACTTTTTCTGCATTCGTGCGCAATAAATTAAAACCCAACTCTAAAATAACACCCCTGTCAGCGTTAAATCGAGGGCGGAGGGGTTCAGCAGCCAGGTTTCCGATTCAACTTAGCTTAGTCAGTGTGACCGTACTTTTTCGCCCAATTCTGAGTTTACACACAAACGCCCAGACTGGAAACGTCCCGTTGACTTATGTATGTTTCACCAAGAGCCAAACCTTCCCAGCGGGCACAGTAACGGAAACGTGTTCTTGTGATAACTGTTTTTTTTAATGCACAGTGATCTTTTGTGCAAGGCTTAATACCCAAATGCCTGCCGACTTGCGCTTCCTGTGTTTTAGACAGGAACCTTGTCCAATGGTATGGAGAGTGCAATGTTTTCTTTCTTATTTTTGTTATAGGCCAGTTACGGTACCTAGCAGAAGCTGCTGTCGGCCATCAGCTGACTGGAACTCGCTGTTCACGACAAAGCTTTATCGTATACGGTTATTGGCGAGAAAAAAGGCTTAACTCACAATGACTGTTCGAATGGAAGGTCCATGTCGTTAAAGAAGTGGCAACTACAGACATCTCTTTTTCATTAGGCGTCCTGGTTTTTTTGCTTTACCAGACAATATATCGGTTTCGGAAAACTGGATTTTGCGAGAAAGAAAATGCTTCCTGTGAAGGGGAGATTTGGTGTCGCGGTCTTGCCCAATATCTAAACTTCACCGCCATTGCCATGCGCCTGAGCTAAAATCTCAAACGAGGATTATACTACGCGTCACTAGTTGTGTGCAGTGCAGGCGAAGTCAACGCCAGTCGAAGACAGGAAGGGCGATCACTAGGAAGGCGGAACGGGAGAGGATGGCACTGAAGGGTGAGGGAGAAAGGGAGAGCACTAGAAACGTTAGAGAGGAGAGGAGGTTTCTCTCTTCTACCCCAGCCTTTCTTGTGCTTGCCCTTTTTGCCCTTTCTTGGCGTTGCCTTCACCTGTACCGCACGTGACTAGTGACACGGAGTATAGTATTCAGTTTAGAAGATGTTCCTCCCCGTGTTTTGATCCAGAGAACAAAAGCTAACCTTAATAATACCTGCACTAGTTTTGCCAAATTGATTTAAAGGAAAATTACGGCAAATTGTTTGGCACTTCAGGTGCATACGTAAAGGGTCCTAAACTCGGCGACCTTTTTTTTTTTTTGAATTTCCGGGAAGAGAAGGAGAGGCAGCGCAAAGCTTTATTCATCGCTCAAATTGGGAGAGGGAACCCGTGCCTGTACATTTTACTGCCTTGCCAAGAAAAGTTCTCCCTGAGTTCAGCATCACTAACGTTTAGCGATACTTTAAGTTTTCAAACGCGAGACGCCGAAATTCGCGGCTCTTTTTATAAGATTAACACTCAGAACGTGTACACTTGATAGTTGTTCCTAGAACGAAGCGATACTACCGATAATCGGGCTAACAAACCTGGCGATCTTACAGAGCCTTCCGTGCTCTCGAGCTACTCTCATCATCAAAGCTGAATGCTGGGCTAGTTGGTATTGGTCTTGGGTTGTCAAAGGCATGGTAGCGCTTTTTTGGACGAGGACAAAAGAAAGAAAGACAAGGACAGACACGAGCGCTGACTTCAACTATTTAATCAACATCTAAATGAGGCATATATACACGCTTGGGTCCTATCAATCAGCCAACCCCAGGCCTTGCCGCCACTTGCATGAACTGCACCTCCTTATCGAACAGGTCAATAGATGCAACGCTGACACACCCCAGCCATGCCCTTTTTATCTCGTCTGCTTCGATAGTCTCCCTAACAGTTCTATTTTTATTTTTATTATTATGTTTAGCTAGTACTAGCTAAACATAATAATAATTCTTATTTAATTCAACATAATAAATTATGTTAAATTAAATTAAATAATTAATTAAACATTATAAAAACATAACATAATAATAATTATTATTTAATTAAACATAATAATAAGCTAAACATAATAAAAAAAAACAGTCTCAGGGTAAACGACGCAATGGTTTTCTTTGTCCTCGTCCAAAAAAGCGCTACCATGCCTTTGGCAACCCAGTACTCTCCCTCACTGCACACAGGTGGTCGATCTCCTCCTCGCCTACGCCTCTGGCAACATGACCTCCCCGTTAACCAACTAACGTTGAGTACCTCACTCCTCCTCCCCCACCCGTCAACCAGTCAGTGTTGAGCCTCGCGGCCACGCCTTTATCATGGTCTTCACGAAATTCCGAACATCTAGCCAAAGGACGTTTCACGTTAACAAGTAATTACGACATCCACTGATTAAAATATTTTTGCGAGAACCGCCATTGAGAAAGTTGCTACTTCGCGCGAAGTTATGCACTTTAAATAAATTTAAATCAGCTCTCCTTATGTTCCTTCAGCCATATATTGTTCATCTGTTGCAGCCTGGCCACTTTCATTATCGCTTCTCCTCCACGCATCGGTGCCGCCTTTCTCTTGACGCGTGGGTAGATATACTATTCTTTTTTGTAATACTTCAAAAGCGGCTGGCGTCTGTGCTGTTTTCCTAGGAGGGACACACTTTTGAACATATCTATGTGTTTTTCAAGTGCTGTTTCTTACACGGTGAGTCTTACACCGTGGTTTAGAAGCAGCAGTGCCGCTTTTGAACCACGGAAACACGCATTTAGGCGATGCCACTCCTTGATATTCGCGAGAAAACTCAGCCAGATGACAGGGACTTTTAACAAACCGTTACCGAGTTGCGCGTACCGCACTACCGAACACTTCGGATCATTCTTTTAAGAGAGCGCGCGCCCGGGTGATAGGGTGACTGCGGGGTTCTCGTTTCAGAGCATACTTCAAAGGCTCCGGTAGTGCGCTACGCGGAACACGGTAACGATTTGCTAAAAGTTCCAAATGTTCGAAGCTGTGTGGGCAGAAATGGTTGCCGAGAAGGAGACGAGAGGGCGCGGGGATGGCAGAACACCGAGCCCTGGATGAAAGGATTAGTGGGTGGACGCATAGTTTGCCTGCCCTTTGTCTCTACTGGCCGTCCGAATGCCCAACGCTCGTATACGGCATTCGGCGTCCGGGTTCGAATGCGCTCGAACAGCTAGTAGAAAAAAAGAGAGCAATTACATAAAATAAGGGACCAGAACAAGCTGTTTTAAATATTTTTAGAAAGGAGAAACGAAGGCGACCTTCGCATATTTAGGAAGACATGTAATACAATTGACGGTAACATTGAAACGAAAAGTGTAAATATGACATGAGCGAACTCTCGGGAGTTATGGGAAATCCCCGCAAGACGTGGGAACCACACTCTAAAAAAAAGGGGTGTAGTGGGTACACCCACAGGGGGTGTAAGTGCTGCCACATATACTACACCCATAAAGGTGTGCAAGTACACCTCAAAACGAGGTGCATATATACACCCTCCTTAGGGGTGCATGCGTGCACTCTTTTATACACCTTCATCATTCGGGGGTGCACAGATACACCCCACACTGGGGTGTGTCTCTACTCCTTTCTTACACCCTCACTGTCGTTTTGGTGTGCAGGTACACCCCAATTTAAGGTGTACAAGTATTCTCTTCCCTACACCCACCTACAGGGTTTGTTATTACACCCTTGTTTACACCCACGCCGCTCATAGGGAACAGAGATACACCCGCCAACAGGGTTTACTATTACACCGTTTTTTACACTCACCCACTCATATGGAACATATATACACCTCATTCAATGATGTACCATTACACCTCTTTGTGAACCCACCTCAAGGAAACCTGTAAAAAATGTACGCGCCCAGGTGGTTGCAAAAAGGCAGGTAAACAGACACAACGGATTGTTTTCAAAACTCCTATAAGTTTATTAGACAGTCTATTCCGTAAACAAGTACAAACGTGCCAGCAATCTGTGATATGTGAAGATGTGCAACGAAGCTGTTACACAACTCAGGACATTAATGAGCGAACAAGAACCGGGGTGACTCTTAGGTAGTGTCTATTCTCTCAGCAGCCGGCAGAATTATTTGTCAGAAATCGTGCCGGCAGTCGTCACTCATTGGCGATATAATCACTACATCGAACGACGATTCATCGACAGCTCAGGTTAGCTTTCCTCTATAAGCATCTCTTCTCTTTTTTTTTTTTTTTTGTAATGAGCCGCCCCAGACTATATGCGCGAGGTGATACATACGGTTATCACAGGTAGGGTAAACATTTTTTTAATGAGCCACCGCAGCGAAGCGACGTGAACGGGTGGGCTGGGTCGGTGAGCACGCGCCTCAGAGACACACACACGACGAAATGTCCCTAGAGCGTGTATTTAGCGTAACGAGTCACGGTGAAACGTTAATGTCGACGAAACATGTCTAGAAAACGTGTATTAACGAAAAGGTGTCCATGAAACGCGTGTTCACAAAACGCCGGGCGAATACGAAAGTCGCCTGCAGTTATCACATGATTGTAGACAGCTAATGGCAGGCGACTGCCGATAGAATTTGGGGGAAATTATTCTCCCGGCTGCTGGGAAATAGACACTGCCTAAGTTTGGACGTAATCCGGAACGGAACGGTCAATTTCTGCAAAGGAGTAGGTTTCAGCGCACTTACGATGAAAATACCGGACTTGAAATATGTAATCCGAGATAGATGTTGACACGGGCACTGCAGAACTACACAAACACAAACACGGAAAGAAAGGGGTCTGTGAAGTTTCAACACGATGTGGCAGAATAAATAATTTGCCAAACCGAACTTTTTTGAAGAAATCGCTTGTTGCCGATGTACGTTGAACTTTTCAAACACTGGAAGCCTTGGTAGACTCGAATACGTTGTCACGGACGAAATCTCTGGCAGCCCCGCTGGTCGCAGCACAGCACACAAAAAACTAGGCCGGGAATCAGACATTCCCGGATCGGAAAGAGCTACTACGCCACCCGTGAAACCTTTGCCACA